GCTTGCCATCTGATCTAATATGGAGGTATATGCCTTCATATCTGCTTAAAGGCAATGGTTCAGATAATGGAGAATAAAATACCAAAGTGGGGCTAGGACAGGGACCTGTTTCATTCCATTTTTCACTCAAAGTGCTGAAAGTAGTATCATAAAACTTTAATACATTTTTGTTAGGAATAAATCAAATGTGATTTGGGTGTTTAAGTGGAAGCAAATAGATGTTACGATAGGTTAAGCACTCAATGAACTTTATTTCTGTGAGACAGATCTCCTAGTCTGCTTGATGCTCTCCTACAGTTTGCTATCATAGTTGAGTAAGTACAGAAATCTTGCCCTCTATTCCTTACAAGCAGAAAGGCCTCAGCAAGGATAGAATTCCAGATAAACTGCTTAATTATTTAAAGTCTCACCTACATTCACACCTTCATGGCCTCTGTCTTCTTTATTGGAGGACACGATCCATTCCACAATGCAATAATCAAGTTACACAAAAATAAAGGAAATAGTGGAGACACAATTCCAGGAGATCTTAATCCTCAGCATTGCCAGGGCAGCAATTGTTAAGTGTCATGCTGCAAAGACTCCAGAGCACAGCGTGGTTTCTGTGCTGGTAAATCCATACCGGACATGATCATCTCCATATGCCAACCACAAGGATTCTAATTTCCTTTCATCAATTTCACATGAACACCGCTGACACAGCAGGACTCCACAGGATTCCAGAGAAATTGGCTCAGTACAGAAGGGAGGTGATGGCCTAGTGGTATTATTGCTGGACTGTTAATTCAGAGACCCAGATGATATTCTGGGGAGCTGGGTTCAAATCCCACCACGGCAGATGGTGGAATTTGAATTCAATAAATCTCTGGAATTAAGAATCTAATGATGACCATGAATCGTTGCCGATTGTCGGAATAACCCATCTAGTTCACTAATGTCCTTTAGGGAAGGAAACTGGCATCCTATCCTTGTTTGGCTTGCATATGACTCTTAACTGCCTTCTGGGCAATTAGGGATGGGCAATAAATGCCCTCATCCCATGAATTATAAAAAACAGAAGTTAATGGAGGAAGGCAAATGTAAAACAGGCATCTAACCTGAACCTGCTCCATCCCTGCTGGGGAGATTAAAGCTCCCTCCTCTCTGGATTACTGGGTTGCACTCCAGGTGATGCTTTGAACATTGATCTATGCTAAGAGCAGAGTGGCTCTCATCCTTCTCTGGAAAGGACATTGACAATAACACAGGTTTTGAAAGGAGTTTCAGTGTACTGAACTAGTCAGACATAGGGGTATCAAAGGTAGGAGTGATGATTGCAGCAGATGACCTCAGACTGTTGGTTATAATTAGAGGTGGAAATAGGTGGCCCTCATGATGGCATTAATATGACAGCAGAAGTTTATCTCAGGGACAAATGTAAACCAAGATTGCAAATGGATGCATCTAATCTCAAACTGTTGCCAGGTGAGAGACTGAGTGAATGGCTAGGGAATGGAGTCTGAACAGGAACCAAAAGAAATACGTTCATTTTTTTCCAATATGTAACTGCCACAATCTTTGTTTGTCTTGTATTGGACATTGGATAAGGAGGCTGGTAAACTTGTCAATTGTGGAGGAGTTGAGAGAAGTAGAGGTGCGTTTGAGCTGGATATCATCAGCATACATGTGAAAATTAATGCTAAGCTTTTGGTTCATGTTGCCAAAAGGAAGTACGTAAATGAGAAATAGGATTTGTGAAAACTTTGGCATTGGTTCCTTGCCTTATAAAGCCAAGGATCCCATTTGCTTTCTTAAAAGCCTTATCAACTTGTCCTGCCTTCTTTAATGACTTGTGTATATTTAGGGGTCTCTATTCTTCTAAGCCCTTTAAAATCAGACCATTTGGTTCAGAACGGCATCATTTTAGATGTGGTATTATTTCATTCAACATTCATATCATTTGCAATGGCTTCTCTTCCTGATCCCATTCTGTTACTTCTGGCATTCCTTTCAGGATCTATTCATGGCAGCCCTCCTATTTAAGTACTGTATCTAATTCCAGGCACTAAAAACCTGGAAGGAGATTTGTCAGAATTTTATGAAGGACAAAAAAATATGAGTTACGAAGAAAGATTAAAGCAGAGATGTGACATGTGGGAGATGTGATACAGCTAATGAAATTCATGAAGCTTTTGTTGAAAGTAAATAAGGAGAAACCATTTCTATTTGCAGAAGGATCAGTAATCAGAGGACACGTGAGGACCATGGGCAATAAAGTCAGAGCCGACATGATGAAACTATTTTCAAACAGCAAGTTATGATGATCTGGATTTCACTGCCTAAAAGGATGCTGCAAGCAGAACTCACATCCACTTTCAAAGGGGAACTGGATAGATACTTCAACTAGAGAAAAGTGCAGAGCTTTGAGAAAGGAATTTAAAGTTTGAAGAATTGAACAGCTTGATAAATGAGCTGGCACAGGAGGGTGGCTGAATAGTCTCCTTCTGTGAGATAAAGTTATGAGAAACAAAGTTTAATTTACAATTCAAAAAGACATTCTCCTGAGCTTGATCAGACAGATGCACTAGAGTGCCACAGAAGCGGTAGGATTACAACTACAATTCCAAATTATAACAGAAACCTAGGATAGCTGGTGTAGAAGTATGACGAAAACCACAACAGAAAATAAGATATCCAAAAGAAAAAAAAATTTTAAACAGTTTAAAAAAAAGATAAAAACTGAGTCAAAGAACAAAATGAAAAGGTTGTGGGCCACAAGTTCTGGTTTCTTGTGGCTGAATAGGACATTCAAATATGCAGGGCTCTGAACATGATCTTTTGTAAAGGAACGTTAAGTAGATTTGGTAAAATAAACAGTGGTATCCAGAAATCAGAAGGAACCCACAGCTCCCATTAGAAAACAGCAAGTAGCAGGCTAAATCATGTGACAGCAGTCCAGAGATGTTAGTGCAAACATTGCTTCTTCATCTGAGACAAACGGAATGGTCTGGCACTTGCTGTCTTTCACCAAACATAATTTTTTCCTACCATTGCTATGCAATTGCTTACACTCAAGTGGTGTTCCCCAAGCTCAGGCAGATTGGCGAGTGTGTCCACTTACATCGGAATACCCCGTGACTCAAATGCACCAATTGCTGCATTTTCCAATGAATGAGCCCAGTTGTAATGGCTGTTTGAAGTCCAGTTGGGTTTCAGCTGATAGGCGCTTTTGCATGGTTACATCATTAATCCCACATACCAAATGTTCTCTCAGCATCTCATTAAGGGTTAAACCAAAGTCGCATGCCTCTGTCAGTCGTCTTATCCTAGTCAAAAATCCTGTTACAGGCTCCCCTGGTTCTCAAATTGCCAAGTAAAACTGACGATATCTCAGAAGTAGAGGCAGCTCAGGGTCGTACTATTCCTTAACTAAATCCATCAATTCTTGAAAGGTTTTCGTATCTGGTGCCTCAGGGAACGTTAGATTCCTAATAACCAGAAAAGCTGTGGGTCTACAAGCTGACAGGAGAATTACTCATTGCTTTTCATCTCACGAATGTCATTTGCCCAGAAAAAATAATGCATTCTTTCCACATACTGGTCCAGGCTTTGATGGCAGGATGGAATGAGTCAAGCTTCCCAAATAACAGCATGATACCAGAAATTCTTACCCCAACTCAAGGACTACTGTTACCAGAGAATTTCTTCAGGAGAGTGTTTTTCTCTTGATGCTACCAGAAAACTCCACAGAGGCTGGTGTCCTGTCATTAAGTCACCCTTTTTTTTTTAAAACATGTGGAGAGTCCTTGACCCTGATCCAACTCACTCAGAACCAGCTCTCAGATGTCAGAATGTCTGACACTCCTGTTCTTATCTGTCAGCCAGGGCTCCCTGATTAAGCCAGATAACAGTCCCATTCAGGGAACTCATATTCTATGAGGTCCACCTGGATGACCTTGTTACAATCACTACAGTACCTTCTGGAAACCTTCCAACGGACTAATGTAAAAAAAAAAACTTACAGGCAAACTCAGTCTGAGAACACTTTCCTCCCCCAACATTCTCTCTCTCATCTCCATACTCTTCTCTTTGTCTCCCTCCTCTCCTCCACAGCTTTTCAGCCAAATGTCAAAAAGGCACTAAATTTAAAGGTAACAACTGCCAATAATGTTCAGATTTTCCAGTTTTCTGTAGTGGTGAACAGTGACTTTGTTTGGAATGTTCAGTGCATTTAAGTGTTACATGCTTGGATCAATGTAGGAGGAAGCAAGGAAAATGCTATTGACCCAATACCCTTTTTCTTTCAAATCACCATTCTCTTTGTGTTTCTTTCTTAACCTCATAAATGCTAGGAATCCAGATATGCTTAAGTGATAAGTACTGACTTTTTTGCCAAAAGAAAATATTGGCAAGACAATGAATGGTTTCAATATTAAACTTCCATTTTCAAAACTGAAGCAATATCAATAAAGAAAGCATTTACTTTGCCAGTTCTGTTTGATATATTTCTAACTCATCTATCTATTGGCCTGCCTTAAATAAAAAAAATTAAATTTAGACAACACAAAAAAGACTAAACATATAAACACAACCACAAAAAAAATCAGTGTTACTTTTCTTCCGCTTAAGTATACAAGACCTTAAACAGAACTTGTACATTTTATTTGAATATAGCTTTTGAAATTCACCCTTGCTTGTTCCAAAACTATTTTAAGCAAAGCTACTGCAAATAAAGTGTCAGACTGTAATAAAATATATTATGGTTGAATATTGAAGAATCCTAGGAAATTAGGCACACTGAACCACATTCTGACTAAACAAACCAAATATATCATAACTCTTACTCAAATGATCAAGTCTGTGCCCAGATTTTTGGGAAAAGCCAAGGCTTTAAATTAAAAACTTCAATGAATGCATTAATAGACATACAAGTGATTTCAATTAACTGAATATTATTTCAAAATACTTAAAAATTCTTGATTTTCTTATTATGTTGAGTGAAGAAATTATTTTCCAGGTACTCACTTCTTTGCATGATGCCAGCCCCCAGGCCAGTTAATTGCCACCTGACATTTTTTGTCAATCAAGCAGTGCGCAGCTGTAAGAGTGGCCCCAGCTACTGCCGCAGCATAATCAAACACTCCCTCTGTTGCAGGACAGTCATAACCTGAAAAATACAGAAATCAAAAGAAATTATCAACTGAATAAACTGTTAAACCAAGTCAACTGTAGAGGACAACCGATCACACAAGCTCTCATCACCGGATGGACAATTTTATTTCTTCTTTCTTTAGTTCTTTTCTCTTCACCAGTGGCGACTATTTCCCCACTTTCCTAAGTGTTGAGTCCTTTGTGAGGCATGATTCCACAGCTACTGCTTGTGGTAAAGTTCTTCAATCAAGTGGCTCGTACTAAAGCATGAACTTTGAAAGTGCATTGCTGTGCAGCTGCAGAAAAAATCACAACAATGCCCAATTCTGCCTTCAGTCAACATCTGCACACTCAGACAAGGAGCATGAGGCCTGATTCATTTTCCCTTTACTAACTCATGGTTACTGAAATTAATTTAGCATCTGTACCATTGTCTGTGCTGAAATTAGTTGCGCCAACAGTTATTAGTTAATACATACTGATAATTGAATTACACTCTGTACAGATTTGCTATTTACCATATAAATTCATTGAGCCGTCAAGAAAGTCACATCCATTTCTTTTTTCAGGCTTTTCAATGTTACATACCATTTTCTGTGCTGGAAGGAATTTTTATACAATCTTCTAGGTTTCTTCTGTGCTTCATTTAACCACTGGTACCATCATACATTGCATATCAAATCAGAACACTTCAGTCTCCCATCACAACATAACTTATTCTTCCATTTCCCCTTCCCCAGGAGGAACTCAAGGGAATGAAATAAAAATCAGAATGCAAATCATATCCAAATCACTTTTGCACAACTAACAGTTAGTTGTCATGCAGAACAAATGAAGTTGTTTTGCGTTAAAGAGCTTCAAATGCAACTCGACTTGAAACAATTGACTTTCTTCAGACTCAAAACATGAGCTAATGCCTCATAACAGCTTGAACTTCAATGCAATATTCTGCCAAAATGCAAACCTCTCAACCTTTTTTGGACAGTCCACTTAAAGAATAATAGGTCATTCTTTTTAAGAGATAGTAGGAACTGCCGATGTTGGAGAATCTGAGATAACAAGGTGTAAAGCTGGATGAACACAGCAGGCCAAGCAGCATCAGAGGAGCAGGAAACCACGCTTTCTGAAGAAGGGTGCAGACCCGAAACGTCAGCTTTCCTGCTCCGCTGATGCTGCTTGGCCTGCTGTGTTCATCCAGCGCTATACCTTGTTATCTCTCATTCTTTTTAAGCCCTTTTCAAAGACAAGTAAACGTTGTAATTTTCTGTTCTAAAAACCATACGGTTTTAGGCAGCATTTAGGAAGACCTTATGAGCAATAGAAAGATCGGTCCCTTTAGGTTATGTGGGTTTCTCTACTGTTGACAGTTGAGCAACAGCCCAGCATTAAAAACAGACATCTGATGCTCTTCAGCACAGAATGTTTTTCCACGTTGTTATAAATCAAAGGTAAATTACAGTTTAAATAAGAAGTGAATTATACACCAGCATGTGTCAGGTTATTCTGAATAAGGAAGGGTTCAAACTCAACCACAGCGTTACATTCAAATGTAGACAACTCATGCACAGCTCATTCCACTTCATTCAAAAACAAAGCATGAAACCTTAATTTCTACAGATGATCTGAATCCTGTTCTGCAAAAAAGCAACAGAAAAGTTTTTGTTTCTCTCATCACTTCCAAAGCCAAATGGGAACCAGAGTATAGGGGACATCGGGTTGAAAACACCAGCCTGGTTGGCCTTTCTCTTTTCCCAATATTGGCTAGTAACGAGTACACGGAAGGTGTTTTGTTAGGTCAGGTTTAAGTGAAAGATAATGAGTGTTTTGTGAGCTGAAATTCCACTATGCTGAAATTGGGCCAGCTTTTGGATAACCTGACTGACACTAATCCTTATTTATGGAGTACTGCAAGGCGCAGTATTAGGTCTGTGTAACAACTGGCAACAAAGAAAACCCTGCAACACCAGCAATGAGAAAAATAGGAGACACAGAGCTTTTCAGAAATTCATCACCATAAAGAAACCAGGACGGGTATGTTTCTCAAAGTCAGCCTGCTTTCAGGTACTGCAGTATGACAAGGTTAACTTCTGAAGCACTAAATCTCCATAGAAGTTGTGAAAATAGGATAGTGTGGCAGCCAAGAAAGGGGCAGAAATCAGTTTGAACTTTTGACAACCAATGCAATCTCTTGTTTACACATTTGTCGATCATAATAATTTCAAAAATATACTATAACACTTTTTTTCACTGTATGCAAGTGTTTGACCATTTGGGGTGACTAACAAATATCTTCCAAATTTTCCAGACCTGGGGTCAAAGCTGGGTTTGATCTGATTGAAAGAGTCTGACCACATTTTATAGATGAATATGTAGGAAGTACTCTCTCACTATTTCAATGCTGTTTCTAAAAATCAATTATCGATCTTGAAAGATAAGCATTACTTTCAAAGCAAAGTACTTGTTCACACACAATTTCTGATTTGAGATTGTTGCCATTCAAGGACAAAACCAACCTGCATTATATGAGAACTCAATCACAGTATTGTAACAGTGTTATAGGAGGAGGCCATTCTGTCCATCATATCTGCGCTGCAAAGTGCTTTACTAATATTCCCTCAGAAGCACAGATATTGAAGCAAATATATTACAGCACAGAAGACAAAACATTCAGCCAATCAGACAAAGCTCTTGAACAACTATGTAGCTTAGCTCCATCCCAATGCCTGTTTTCTTTCTCCACAAATATTGCTTTATCGTATATTCGTATATTCAGTTAGTGTTCACCATATCCTAACTGACAGCATGAAAATATTGATTTTCAAATCAATCAATTCCAGCATTTGTTTAGCAATGTTGTAAAACCTATACCCTCCAGTTACCATCTAACTAAATAATCTTTGGAATTCAAAACATTTTTAGTGGAGTGCCCCTTAAGTTTAAGATCATAAAAAATAGGAACAGGAGTAGGCTGTTCGGTCCCTCAAACCTGCTCCACCATTTAATAGGATTATGGCTGAACTGAACATTCCTCACATCCATTTTCCTGCATTTTCCCCATAACCTTTGATTCTCTTACTAATCAGGAATCTGTCCATCTCATCCTTAAATATATGTAAGGACTCTGCCACCACAGCTTTCTGTGGCAAGGAGTTCCAAAGACTCAACCTTCTGAGAGAAGAAACTCCTCCTCATCTCGGTCTTAAATTGCCTACCCTTTATTCTGAGTCTATGCCACCTGGTCCTGGACTCTCCCATGAGAGGAAACATCGTCTCAACGTTTACCCTGTCAAGCCCCTTAAAAATCCTATATGTTTCCATGAGATCACCTCACATTCTTCTAAACTCCAATGAATAGAGTCCAATATGTTTAGCCTTTCCTCATAAGGCAATCCTCCATACCAGGGATCATTCCAGTGAACCTTCCTGTAAATGCCTCCAACGAAATGATATCATTCTACAAAGTGGACCAGACATGGTCTCACCAGCACCTTATACAGTTGCAGTATGACTTTGCCACCTTGAAGTAAGTGCCAGCATTCCATTAACCTTCTTGATTACCTACTGCGGCAGCGTGCTAACCTTCAGTGTGTCATGCACAAGTATCTCCATGTCCTTTTGTGTGGCAACTTGCTTCAGTTTTTCTCCACTCAAATAATACTTTGTTCTCCCTTCCAAAATGAACAACTTTACATTTTCCCCCACATTATACTCCATTTGGCAACTTTTTGCCTATCAATATCTCCCTGTAAACTTTAAACTTGCCTTTCCACTTATTCTTGTGTATCTTTAAATTTAGCTGGAATACATTTGCTTCCTTTGACCAAATCATTAATATATATTGTAAACAGTTCGGGTCCCAACAATGATTAATTAAAAGGAGCACAGTTTTGTCATTTCTTGTAAATGAATCCTCTCATTCTTGGCATCATCTCAATAAACCCACTTTACAATTTCTCTTCACCTTTAATTTCCCTGAAGAATGGTACACAACACTAGCTGCAATGTTCCAATTAAATAATGATTTGAATAGATGTAGGATTACCGGTTGGTTTTTAAAATCCAGGACTGAAACAAAAAGACACTAGAAAGACAATTTGAAGCTCTCTGTGAAGCATGATGGCATTCACATTAATGAGTTTCCTGAGCACTAAAGTTCATAAGAATTTTTTTAACACAGAGGTTGAGGAGATCAATATTTGATTGGTTTTCGTTTCCAAGTATAAACTGCACATGATTAATAGAAAGCAGCAATAACATATCTGCAACCTGCTAAATGGATTTCATGCAAATGGATACAATTTCTACATATTGGACACCTTCCATACTGATTTTACAGTGCATAATACATGTGCACTTTTAAATCCGATTACTTGTATAAATCATATTTCTAGTCATACAACTTATACGAGAATTTGGTCTGCAACCAAAGTAGGATATACTGACTAGAAATATTGTTGCAGACCAAATTCTTGTGTAAGTTATATATTGTGGGACAATGAAAATTAAAAAAAAACTGCACACTACCTACAGTTTCTAGAAAGCTGGATACAAACAGAACATTTCATGTCAAAAGCATTGTGTTTATCTGAATGCAATTCTTAAAACATATGGACTTAATCAAAAGAAAGGTCCTGCAGAGCAAAGACATAAATGAAATACATTTATGAAATAGACAGAAAATAAAAAAACAGGCCAGCTGGTCCAGTGAGTCTGTCCCATTCAGCCATAGGTCATCATGCTCATTTGGAGAGCAGCGCACACACAATGCGTCAAATGGCCTCCTTCCACACGATAAGACTTGTCTGATATTGCAACTTGGGAACACAACTATCAATTCCCCACTCAGAGTAGCCATATAATCACTCAGGAGAAGCAATACAATAGATTTTTAAAAAAACACGGGGAATTTCAGGGAAAAGAATGAATTTCTGCTTTCATAAAAACATTTTGTACATCAATTTTATAGTGATATTGAAGTTACATAATTACTAATGAAGGAAATATAGCAGAAGAACACCATCACAACGATTGCATTCCTGCGATTACTTGTCCTAAAACTCAACATTCCTACACTTATTTGCAGTGGGAACTTATCAAGCACAGCCTAAGTGTTGGGGTACTGGTTAGAAGAATTTGATACAAATTCTGAAGATTAATTTCAGAACAGTTTAAATGGAGCTTTGGGATTGGTAATTCTTTTCACTTTGTACAAGTTGATGAGTAGTCAAATAAAGCCTACAAGAACAGATTTAGAAACAGACGTAATGCCAGAACTTACACTAATTGAATACCTCATTGATTTTGCATAGTGGATTACAGTATTGTCCTTTTGCCCTTATCCTTAGCTCAGTTGCCTGGATGCTGGCTTGCAATGCAGTGTGATACCAATAGCGTGGGTTCAATTCCTGCACGGCTGGGGTCACCATAAAGGACTCTCCTTCTCAACCTCTCCCCATGCCTGTGGCACGATGACCCTCAGGTTAAACCACAAGCAATCATCTCTTTAAAGAAAGAGCAGCCCTTTCGTCCAGGAGGGCTACGGCTACTTTGCTTTTAGTGTTCCATAATCCAAACCAGACTACAGGAATCAAATGTCTCTTCTCTTCCATTAACAAATTTTCTAAATGAAGGAACTCAGCAATCTCAAACATCTCTGGTTACCACCATCATACATTCATTCAGCATTGTTCTTTATTACATTGGCAGTACAATTTAAGAGGTCACAGGTATGATAAGGTGAGAAATGCACCTCCATGCAACAGCAGTGAACTATTCAGATTTGAACAGACGTAAAGCATTTAACCCTTCATCTGAGCTACTGTAGGTGATGGTGACAATCCTTTTGAAGAATAAAATCACAAATAAAAGGACAAAAAGCATAAATATTCAAAACAGACAAATTAGAATGTTTACCTAGTCCATACTCTGCAGACTCCGGGTCATCATCATCACCATCCTCACTGATTTTCTGTAAATGCTCTAGGTAGGCATCTGTATGGAACATTGCCATTTCTTCCATAGAAGCCATTCGGGGTTCAACAATCCTGTTGTAAATAACAAAAACATCAGAAGCAAGCACATTTCAATGCTTCCTCTTAATGATGCAAAGCACCATATGCTCCATCCAAGTGAAACAGTGATTTACTTATCCATTATTCAATTTAGTATACTGTGTTCATTGTTCAGAACATGGTGTCCTCTACATTGAGGAGACCAAATGTCGGATGGGTAACATCTATTGCAACATCTTGAATGTCACTAAGTGTGACCCCAAGCTTCTGGTTGTTTGACATTTTAATTGTCCACCTTGCTCCCATGCTGACCTTTCTGTCCATGGCCTGTTACAATATTCCATTAAACTGATGCAAGCTAAGGAATAGTACCCTTCAACTTAACACTCTACAAATTTCTGCACTCAACAGAGTTCAACAATTTTAGATTGTAACCACTGTTTTCACCATGTTCCTGTGTATTTGTTCTTTTGTTCTGCTGGGTTGGTTTTGTCTAGTTTCTTCCTTTATCTCTTCATGCCACATTCAGACAGTTTTTAAGTAGCCAAACAAACCTCATTTGGACACTCATTTCCATCTCTTTCGCTGTTGTGTAATGGAATCTTTTGTTGTCTAATTTCTCCTGGCCTCCACCCTATCACAGATACTCCCCTTTTGTTTTTTTCCTTCAATGCACCTCCTGACAGACTGGAGTATCTTTAAAAACAGCAACTTGATAATTTTACATCTTCTGAAACAATGAACCTGGAATCTAATTGTTCACTAAAATAGGAATTGGCTTCTGGTGTTTGGCTGTGAGTCTCCATATCTATAGTATTTAGACTAGCGAATACACACACCATCCTTAACAGGTACTCAAGATTTTTAAACTGCAGTATAATTACAGTTGTCAACTAAGCAGTGACACAAAACAAACCACCTAAAAATAACACTCTGCTACTTGTGTATCGAAGTAAATCAGTGCATACTATTAAAGCCTATATATTCCAATAGAATATGATTAGCTGAACTCAATACTTTAATGGGTAATCTCAAATATCAGTGTGACTTTTTTTTTTAAAAATTCAATCCGTTCAAAGATGTTTTTGCACACCTCTAGAGCGGGTGGGACATGAATGTGGGCCTCCTAGCTCAGAGGTAAGAGCCCTTCACTATCAGAGTGACAAACAGCTTTGCAAACAAGGAAGCTCTGTGCTGAATTAACGGATCTCAATAAATGCTGCAACTGGTACCAATGTCCCAAGGATAACAAAACATTTAGCCATGATCCTCACTTAATCCTACACCAAATAATTTGCTGCAAACACAAACGTTTATCCCCTGCCAATGCTCACTATCGAGAATCACACATCAAGTACAGACTAGTACATGTCTGTCTATTTCAAGCTTTTGACAGAGTACTGAAAAGTGGTTTCTCTATAATGTGGAGGCTTCTGGTATTAGTAGTAATACATTGCCCTGGATTGAGAAGTGACAAGAAAGTAGGTAGAGAGGAGTTGTAGATGGGAGTTGGAAAGTTTTGGAAACTGGACACTAAGTAATGTCCAGCAGAGATGAGCATTAGCATTATTGCTGACAATTATTATTAATAATGATCTGATAGAAAAGTTGAAAGTATGATATGCAAAAGCATATTATATAGAAAACTTTGTTTTAACTGTCACCTTTGATAAATTATACACCTCAAATACCGGAAATTTACAGTGTTAGGGCAATGTCTGAGTAGTCAATTGAGGGTGCAAGAGAGAAGGCTCTTTGCCAGTAAGTTTTATTTAAAGAAATACTGCAGTATTATTTAAGTGGTTTAAGCTGGAATAAAGTATAATAGTGATGAGTATACCCACTGGATTATATTTCTAATACTTAGTGTGTTTTTTAACATTGATTGCATGGACCTCTTGATCAACTGGTACACTCCCGGACCTGTTGGTGCTGGTTAACATAATGTTTGCTGTACTAAGAACTCAGAGCATTAAGACTGTGGATGAAGCTGGATGTATTGTTGTGACCTCAGTCAAGACAAATGCTGATAAACAGTTTTCTTTTGAAAAGGAGAAATCTTAGTCACTTATTGAAAGAACAAAGCCACAAGATTCCACAGTTTAAGCTAAATTACTTTTTATTATGCAAGTTCAATCAACACAAACATTGAAAACTGTCTTAGGTAACCAGAAAAATACAGACTTAACACAAGTTAAACATGAATTAACAGATAAGTTTCACTCACTTATAAACTATAAATTATACCATAAACCAAGAGAGATCTTACAAATTGGCTCAGCAGACCAATTGGCCTAAAAGTCATAAAATTGCATTGACAAAATTCTTCAAACTCTCTTCATGAAAAAAATCAGCTTCTACAATTTATAGCGATCCACAATCCGCAGCAGCATATAACCAACCTGAATTCTATGGTTCGATCTTCTCAATGGCATATGACTCCTCAATTCTGTTTATGACAGTCTGGATGATGTAGCTTCGCCAACATTAGCTTCAAGAAACAGCTGCAGCAAATGTAACCTTGCCTGTTCTCAACTTCTGGATCAGGCCTGTTTTCTTTGATTTGCCAGTATTGTAATTCTGGATGCATCATCCAAGTTGTGGTGGCTTTGTGCCCTTTTATAGGAGTACAGACATTGCAGATTCCTTAGAAGTTCTAATTTTCATTCTTAGCTTCAGTCTTAGTTTCCTCAGAAATTGGAAGGGTCAGTTTCCTTTTTTAATTTCCTTTGCCTTTTCAAGTGTATGTCAAAAAATGTAAGTTTTGAAATCACAGATTAAACTCATGATTGGCAAAGGATGTTCCAGATGATTAAATGCACTCTTACACATGTGAATGTTAAATGCAAATACACCCTTCAGGGAAAAGCTTTACAGAATGTGCAGGGTGTGATACTTGCATATTCTCACATATAGATCACTAAAGATCTGATGAAAAATCACCAAGATCGAAATGTTAACTCTCTTACCACACAACGCCAGACCTGAGTTGTCTTAGATTTTTAACATCCGCAATATTTTGTTATTAATCAAGATTAATTAATAAAGCTTGGGCGTCATCCTTTAGAGAACAGCAGATTGAGGGGCAACCCAATCAAGCTTTAAAAGGTGATAGGAGAGAATATACTATTGTCCAAACTTGAATACTTGTTCCAATTAAATACAATAAGGAAGGTGCAGAGGTGACAATTTAAGTTGTAAATAGCCACATCTAGGTTATGTCAAAAGGCAGCTCTTTTCCTTTGGAATTGTGGACATCTACAAGAAGCTTAGGCCACAAATGCTGATTTATTGGCTTCTTTCAAGGACAACTGGACCTCTTTCTGGCTTGTGTAGAAATCTCCTCTGCCAAAAGGTTGGCACTGGGTTTGTATTTATTTGTTATCCTCTCTCAGGAGACCATATGGTTTTTGGCGTGGTTGGAGAAGTGTGTTTATTTGTAATGTAAAAAGTATCATAATTGTGTAACGTACTGGATGGACTAGAGGATCTTTTTCCTGTTGTTTATCATTTTTAAAACAAAGCACAATCAGCATTTATGGAACACATTACAGCCTCTGGAGAACTTAGGAGGAATTGGGAAGCTGGTTATCGATTTAACCATCATCTGAGTGAAACCTTTGACATTTGTAAGTTTCCTCCATCACAATTTTGGAATAAGTAACCCTGGAGAATTGCAATGAAATCTGTATACTTCTTGTTTCCCTTTTCGTATTGGTGTATTTTAAAACCAACACTGGGACCATTCTGAGAACAGATACTTAATGTAGAATTCAAACAGAATAATGAGTGGTAATCCACTAGACCAAAATTTTGGTCTTCTCAGTAATTTTGGATTACTATACAAAATTGTCACGATACAAAGCTCTAATTTAGACAACATCTAGGTACTATACACAGTTCTGAGCGGGCTTGGAGAGATTACAACACAGATTCACCAGCATGTTATCAGTGCTTCAAGGATTCCATTATGCATGATTACATAAAACCAGTAATCCCTGGAATATAGAATGTTAAGCAAAGATTTCGGTGAGGGTTTTAGGATTTTTAAAGTAACTGATGGATACAGAGAAACATTTTCCATTGGTGGGAGTGTTTAGGACAAAGGTGCATAATCTTAAAATAGAACCATGTCATCAGAGAACTTCAACATACAAAGGATAATACAAATTTGTTGACAAAAAGCAACATAGGCTAGCTCAATTAATATCTTTAAGAGTGAAACGCTTTTATTTGTTCAAAGATTAAGAGATATGAAGCCAAGAATATTAGAACACTAATTCCACGGCTAGAAAAATAGCAACAGTGGCCCACTTAGCAATCATGCCACCTGCTGGTGCTCACGCAGTTTCTACCACTCCTGATGTCATTGTGATTCCTCCACTCACTGCACTTTGTCTGAGTCCCTGCTGGTGACAGTTTGGGAGGGAAAGCAAGCAGGAGGCAGAAAGTGGACAGCAAGGGCTCAGGAAAGGAGTGGTGAGTAGAGCGATGAGCAAGGGTTTGGAGAGGGACAGCAAGTGGGTAAGCTCAAAAGGACTGCTGAGTAGGAAGTTTGACTAAGAATAAGGGCAGCAAGCATGATGCAGAGAGATGGGTGGCACGTGGAGGTGAGCAACAGGCACACAATATCAGTACTGGAAAAAGACTGTACTTGTGCTGATGGATGGAGTGGCTGCGGAAAGGGCACACGCAACTGTCTGGTCAGCAGCAGTGGGCAACCATATTAGAAATATGAACTGATGCCTCGTCAGATAATTTTGGTAAACAAAATGGCTGTACCTCATGTATTTCAGCAACCCATAAGAAGCAATCAAAGAATGGACCATACTAGCCTAGAAGAAGAAAAGAAAAGATTAGTTAGGAGATGGCAAAAGAAGGCTAGTAATGTACTAAAATATGTCCAAAAGCCATCGATCAGTGCAAGGAATGTGCCTAACTTAGAACTGTGCTTGCAATTTATTACATAACAATTTGAGATCTTGCCTATTCAGTTAGGAAAGCAATCAAGCAGATGCTAAGCATTTCCCCAAAGGGAAAACAGGAAAAAATGTGTTAAATTGCAAGCTTCTTTGCAGTGACACTCAGTAATCCTATACATAAATTTAACAGAAGTGATAAGAAACAAGTAGCAGATATTTTGTAACAAAAACAGAAATTGCTGGAGAAACTTAGCAGCTCTGGTAGCATCTTTGTTAACAGAGTTAACATTTCAAGTCCAGTGACCCTTCTTCAGTTAATCTGTTACCTCTGATTAAAGGTAATGGTATGAACTGTGCTTTTTTAAAAATTCATTCATGGGATAAGAGTGTCACTTGCTTGGGCAGCATTTATTGCCCATCCCTAATTGCCTAGAGGGCAGTTAAGAGTCAACCACATTGCTGTGGGCCAGAGCAGGTAAGAATTACAGTTTCCTTCCCTAAAGGACATTAGTGAACCATATGGGTTTTTTCGACAATCAACAATAGTTTCATGGTTACTTAATTCCAGCTTGTTCACTAATGGGGGCTCACTCAAGTCCATAAAAAAAGTCAGTCGGGCAAAGTGAGGCCAGCCAGCTGCCCAGAAAGGTGGTTCCAGCCAACAACTTTGGGTCCAATGAAAAGAGGGGTAGCATCTTTTGCTGGAAGGGCAGAACTACAGACACCATAACGACATGAGAAAGAGGTACAGGGAGGCAAAAATAAATATTTGACTGCTGAAGATGTAATTACTTGGAGATGACCCAAAAAAAATGCTTCAGGAGACTCTCCAGCCAGGTGGTCACAGCCATCAGTGACTTTGTCATGAAAGAACAGGCAGCAGTGGTCACAATGTCCTGTTGGTAACCATCAAGGTCATTATCGCCTCAAACCTCTTCATATTTTCCCCTTCCAGGGATTAACTGTAGACGTGAGTACACCTGAAAATTGTCACACACCTCTCACAGGCCACGGACGACATCTTTACTTGCTGGAGAGCACATTCATTTAAATGATAGAAATGACTTTGTAGGAGCAGAGGCCATTGGATTTCATTTTTACCACTGTACTCCAAACAACATGGGGCATTATCAGTTTCACCCACCAAGACACCCAGTGATCGGTCAGTGAAATCCAACAACAGGGATAGTTGCCATTCCCTCAATTGGTTCATTAGTTTCCTCCTTGCGTGTGCTTGCTTTCCTAGCAGCTGCCATGACTCCTTCACTAATTCAGACTGCCTCATATCTTTATTTCACCACCCCCTAAATACTAGTGATGAATCACAGAGCTCAAGAAATTCCATGAAAAGATAACAACTGTCCCCTCTACAGGAATTCCAGATAAAGGCAGAGATGAAAAAAAAAAAATCAGTCACCTGCTTAACAGGACAACAAGGTGGTCATTAAGCTTCCGAAACTGTGAATCCAGTCTCTGGACCAGTCAGATGGTGTCTTTCCATACCCTCTTGCAACGGTCTCCATTCTTGTAGTCTACTGCACTCTCCCCAATATGCCCTCCAGAGAAATGTGGAGCTCAAAGATGGTGGAACCCTGGAAGGAACCATCTCATCAGGGAGGAGTATTAGCAGTTGGTAAACGAGAAATTGCAGGTGGAGGCAGATAACACTGAACAGAGAAACACCTCTGCAGCACGTTGAGATGACCTCCACCTACCATTCTCCAGGCCACCCCTTGTCTCTCTCTCGTGGTCTACAATATTAGATCCAAGTCAATATCAATGAATTGAGCATCTCCCATATCTTGGGCGACAGCAATTCTGTGACATTTCGCTTCACTCTAGTTCTGCAGAAATGCCTTTACAGAAACCATGGATCTCCCCCTTATGACAACCAACAAAATAAGTAGCCAGCTGCCCAGGAGTATCCAAATGCATCTGACTCCTCATTTGATCTATGTACATTCCAGTGTCTATAAGCTCCAAGTGGAAACCTGTCTATATCAATTATGGCATGAACTTGATCAGTTTCTCACTGGAGCTAGGTTTCAGACCCTCAAAATAAACCCAGCCACTTGCCCATCACCCCGGCAGAACAATTAACCCAAGATTTCCAACATTTCAGGTAATGACTCTATCCACATCTTACCCTATAGATATTAATAGGTTAAATTACATTATTTTGATAGTGTGTTGACCAGTACTCTAGCTCAGGCCTGACATTATAAACCAGCTCCATCACAACCTGCCTGCTCTCGTGTTCAGTACCTCGATAAAGGCAAGTTTCCCATGTGCCACCTTCACTACCCTGTCATATCGCCTTCAATGATCTGTAGAAAGGTGTCTCTGATCCTCTAATTTTTTTTAAAGAGTCCTATTAATCGTGTGTGGGATGGTCACATCCCTAGAGTCCCATTAGGCGCCGGTGGGGCCTGGAGCTGCAGCCTTACCCTGCTGGTGACTTTGGAAAGGGAGTCGCATCTCTCGATGTAGCCGGGAGTGTAGATATAGCAGACATTGGTTTTGGTGGCGGGTGAGTCCAAATCCACTTCCGGCTCCATCTCAAAACGAGAAACCGCTCCCCCAGCAGCCGGATGGTACCGTGCCACCAGAAAAGCCGCTCTCCCGGCAGCCGGATGGTGTCGTGCCACCAGAAAACCGCTCCCCCTGGCCAAATGGCGCCGTGTTACCGTGAAACCGCTCCCCCGGCAGGCAGGCAGCCAGCCGCAGTAAAATCCTGGCCTGTAAAAGGGAAGCTCTCTGCCACTTTCAGCAACATCAGCTGTTGATTGTGGGAATAAAGATGAAGTAACTCCTCAGTGGGCCAGAAGAGGTCCCTGAAAGACCAACGGATCACGTTTCTTGAAGCGTATGTGTCCCGTTTGCCTTTCGCCTACACTTACCGTCTTATTGCAGAATAATGTGTTTAAATCCCGAAACGAAAGGGAACTGGCAAGCTTAAAAAAAGTGAATATATTAAAAGCGCTGATGTGAAATAAAAATGTGGAAGCCTGGAATGTGTTCTCAAGAAGATATTTGAATGATTTTATGAAAGTAAATGGATGAGACTGTAGTATAGTATAGGAGGTAAAGAGAGATATTAAATGACAAGTTGATGTTACAGAACCAAAGTGAATGGAGTAAGAAAAGAAACCAATAACTAAAATTTGGCTAGTTATGTCCGCTTGAAGTTCTGCTCCTATTCTTTGCTCTGAGCTCCATTGCCCATCTATCCCCTCACTCTCCCAGCATCAGCACATGGGATCTAGGCAAATCCTAGAGTGGCTCAGCGGTTAGCACTGCTACCTCACAGCACCAGGGACCCAAGTTCGATTCCACCCCCGGGCGACTGTCTGTGTGGAGTTTACACATTCTCCTTATGCCTGCGGGGGATTCCTCCCACAGTCCAAAGAGGTGCAGGCTACGTGGATTGGCCACGCTAAATTGCCCAGCGTTCAGGGATGTGGAGCTTAGGGGGTTGGGTCAATGTGGACTTGTTGGGCCGAAAGGCCTATTTCCACACTGTAGGGATTCTATGATATCTGATCTTAATCCACACGTTCATTTGGTGGAGGTTGGCCCACAATTCCATGACGGAGGAAGTTCCAGTATTTGGACAGAGTTCCTCTGAAGGAATGATGGTTATATTTCCAAGTCTGGATGCTGAGTGGTGTGGAGGTATTGTCACAATACTTGTTTAAATAAAATAAAACAGCAAAATATTAGCATAACAAAATACATTTATAAACAACTTCGTTGAATTCATAGTTTTAATAAAAGCTTTTATAAACTAAACAGTGCAGGATTTTTGGTGAGGTTGGAAAAAATATTAAAGTGATGAGTGACTGATCTTTTCTCTCTTGTATCTGATACAGTTTAAGGCAATATCAGTGATCAGAGTATGACATTTCCATAAGCATCATTTAAAACATTAAACACGTAGTCTTAACTGCCAAACAATTTTATACCACTTACTTACAATGTTCATTTATACCTTGAAGTACCAGCCTCTACAAATTCTTGCATTACACATACAAAATTCCTATAATTGAGCAGCATAATGATTACAATAGCAAACCATACTAAAGTTCATCAGACTTAAATGCCCTGTGTTGAAATGATGAAGGCACATTAGTAGGTTAAATAGCTCAACTAAAAGCAAACTGTTAAGCAGGTTGCAAAATAGCAAACATATCATCAAAATAGATATCTATTTCTCTTCTTTATGATTTTTTTAAAACCAAAGTGTACTTTGAAAATTAATCTTCTTATAGAATACTCTAGATAAGACAGTAACATTACCTTGATCATCACTGTCAAAATGTAAATTTCTTTTTAAAAGATATAGAAAAGGAAATGCAAATCAAACACCAGGATATCTAAAATTTTGCTTCAGGATGAGAAAAACTATTTTAAAATTATTGAATCCTGAGGTTAGCTTCATTAACTCTGTAAAAGTAGTGTAAATCTTAATGTGTGTGCTGGATGTCATGCAATGAGAGACATCAGGATGGTCAGAAGAGGTGCTTGCACGCATCACTGAACTTATCATTTTGCTAACATAAATTAAGATGGCTTCAATAAAAAATATACTTTTCTCAACATATATCACAGTATTTTTAGTATTGTTTTTAAAAAGGAGTTTATACAGGGCTAGATACTTTAACCATAAGCTGCAATAAGTGGCTTTCCAGCCCAACAGTATGCAATAAATAACATGCTTTTAGCCACGTGTAAACATTTCCCTTATTCAATGACGCAATTTATCTGTACTTGCTGTTGTATTAAAAAGATATGTGTAAAATCATTTCAGATCTTGGCCGTTTTGTGTTAAAAGGAAACAGTAATGTGCGCTTGATTTAAGAACTTCATTTAGTAATTTCTTCTTGGCAGCTATAAATGATGCAACATGGACTTCACAGCTTTTGGATGAACAATGCTGGTAACATCCAAATTTAATGCTGCGCATTGTAGGCCTTGGACACAGCATTTGTGTACAGTCTTTTGATTTAGATTACATAAACGTCATCAGTTTACTGCATTGTGCACCCGCTATCAGGTAAGAATTCATCCACATATATGGCTACAGCCTTCAAAAGATAGGTCATGGAACCAAAGCGACCACTTGGAGCACTGTCATATAGCAACTTGCAAATTCCATTTGCAGGATCCTTTTCCAGCATGATATCATCAGCACCCAAAGCACTCTATTGATAAAGTGAGAAATACAATTATACAATTAGAACACTAATGAATAAAGTTAACTTCAAAACTAAGGCTCAAGGTGATTTTGAAGGTGTGTGGAAAATAGAAAACATGGGCTGGATGTAAATGAGGTCATTCCACCTCCCCCCTATCCCCCCAACACAAACACACGCATACACACAGTCATTAAAAGGTCAGCAAGGGAAAACAATTGTCCTGCAGACATGTAATGGCTAACCAGCCCCATTATTAAACTGGAGGCAGGAGTTTCCTTGTCAGGAACAGGAGATAGCTGCTGGTGAATCAGAAGCTGGCAGTACTCCACTGCTGACAGCACCAGTGGGACTGATGATCACAACTGCTATTATATTGGGATCTTCAAAAGGGTGTACCGCTGGATCCCATGAGAGGGGTAATTGCAGGGAAGTTGGGGGAGATACTAGCCAGGCAGAATGTGGAATGCTGAAAGCTGGGGATAAATGTGGGGACAAGGGTCTCTGATAGGAAACGGGATGTCCTTGGGAGGTATCATCAGACCTCCACCCACACTGTATGTGGTGACCCTTAAGGTTTGCAACCTGTCCTAGGATTTTCTCTGGTTAAATCCTGGTGGCAAAAAGGTGAGGCCTTTAAATAGGAATTAATTGCCCATTTAAAGATTTCACTGGCAGGCAGGCCATTAAAGGGCCCTTCTGCTGCCACAAGAACTGTGGTGAGGGCAGATAAATCCAGCTGGTCTGCCCACTATCTAAATTGCTCCTGCTTTCATTTCTGCCAGCAGTGGAGAGTTAAATTCAGCCACAGAGGCTCTACAACTTACTGTGCTCTCTGACAAATCTCCAAAGCTAGTCTACTTAGGGATTGTTGGAGATGAGGAAAAAAAACAGGAGCTGAGAACAGACATCATAAGGTGATCCCAATTCAAGTCCTCCCTCCAAACATTCTCGTCAGCCAACAGGAGGGTAGGGACAGGAAATGAGAAATGCATTTCTAAATATAAAAATGAAGTTTTACCTGTTCTTCAATAAATAAATTATTTGCCATGTGTGCAATGCGATCAACATAAATTATTTCACCAATAATTTGTACTTCTGTATCAGCCAGCATTGAGAGGACAAGGATAGTTTCCACAAGAAGCTGCCGATACTCTGGCTGTGGCACACTGTTCAGGAAAGTTTCTACCTGAACAGCAAATTTAATTTCACCGGGTGTCATCTATTCAGAAAGAAGAAAAATGCAGGTGAAATAAATCAAATGTTCATCACAGAATCTATTTAAAAGAAATACCAGATTTTTTTTTTGCTGATGTGATGGAAGGTTCATGAGGACAATGTAGATAATGTTGTTATGGATTTCCAAAAGACTTGAGTGGTTTTCTGCAGTGGTCAATAGAACGACCATTGCTTGTCTTGCTAATAGAGTCATGATTTATACTTTAACAAAACACAATTTCAACATTTGAAGGTGACACAAACTTTGATGAATTGTGAACTTCAAGGACAGTGATAGACTTCAAGAGGTCACAGACTGATAGAACAAACAAACACAAGGCTGATTAAACTTAATGCATAGGAGTGTGAAGAGATGTGTTTTGGAAGGTTAGGAAGCATGAGGAGAGGCAAGATAAACTGAAAAGTACAATTCTAAATCAGGTGCAGGAACAGAGATTGGGCATACATATGCATAAATTGCGAAAAGCAACAAAGTAGTTAAAAAGGCATTTAGCATCCTTGACTTTAAATTTGAGGTGTACAGGACAAAAGTCAAAACATTATTTTGAACCTTTACAAATCGCTGGTTCAGCCTCAATTGCATTACCGTGTCCAATTCAAGATACTGTGCTTTAGTAAGAAATTAAGAAAGCATCAAAAAGATTCAGAAAAAATTTACAAGTTTGGTTTGGGGTGAGGGACTTTAAATTTGAATAGATAGAAGAAGCTGTGCTGCTCTTATTAAACAAGAAGGTTTAGAGGAGAATCAAAAGACATTCAAAATTATGAAGTGTCTGGGCAGTGCAGAAAGAGGGAAAGGGCTCTCTTTGACAAAGGGGTTCAAGATTGGAGGTTTAGATTTAGATGATTGGCAAGAGAACTAATGGTAACATGAAGAAACTTTATTTATGCATATGCAGTCAGTGGTTAGAATCTGAAATACACTCCAGGCACATTCAATTTTGCTTTTCCAAAAGAGAATTGGACAATGACCTGAAGAGTTATCCTTTTTTTTAAAAAAAAGAAAAAGTGCGAGGTTATGGGAAAAAGGCAGGAGAGTGGGATTGGCAAAACTGCAAATATAGCCTGTGCATATTCAACAAGTCAAATGGCCTTTTTCTGTGTTATAACCATTCCATGATTCATACTGCAACTGAGAACCAAGCTGAATGCTGCAGAAAATATTATCAAGCTCTGCTGGGAAATGCTATGCAACATTGGACTTGTCACAGTAAAAATGTATGTTTCTTCCTAAACGTGGTGCACCATTTACGGCTGGCTAATTTTCTTGTTGGTTTCAGGGTGAAGATTCAGACAAGATCTGGAGAACCAGAGTCAATTTTGGCAACTTTTTTTCCCCTCAAAGTGTTCCCACATGCTAGGCTCTCTGCTATTGCGCATCGACCTAAGCTGTGTAGCAAGATTCCTTCAATCTCCAATGTTATCAGATATCATTAATTTTCTAGCCGCTGCAAAATTATTTGAAAATTTGTGCAAACTCAACAATTTTGAGTTTGATAAAATAAAGAATAGCAGATGCTGGAGATCTGTCCATAAAAATGACCTTGAGCTCCCAGGTGGTAGCCACTTAAACACATTACTGTGTTCCCACACCAACATTGCTGTTGTAGGCCTGCTGCAGCGTTCCAGAGAGCCTCAACTCAAGCTCAAAGAACAACAAAATAAAAGCCAAAAGAACTGCATATGTTGTAAATCAGAAACAAAAACAGAAATTGTTGGAAAAGCTCAGCAGGTCTAGCAGCATCTGAGGACGGGTCACCAGACCTGAAATGTTAACTCTGATGTCTCTTTTCAGAGGTTGCCAGACCTGCTGAGCTTTTACAGTAATTCATGTTTTTGTCTCAAAGAACACATCTCATTTTCCATTTGGGAACCCTGCAGCCTCCAGGACTCAACATTAAGTCCGTTAACTTTAAAGCCTGATAATGTCCTTCCATGTTTTTTTACCCATTCCACATTCTGGTCCTGTCATGACATGGGTTGCTTTCAGCAAAGCCAAAGCATTCTCACCCACTCTTAGTCCTTTATCACCTATTCAGTTTCTCTTTTGTGCTGGCTTACTGTCGATAATCTGACGGTCTGCCTGTCCCTTTCACATCTCCCTCTCTCTGGAGTATGTCCCCACCTTTCCCCTGCCCCACATCCCAAACCCAATCTTCACCGTACTTAGTACTTCTTTCCTAGCTGCTAACACTTAGAGTCATAGAGATGCCCCCACCCTGGGGAAAAGACCCTGTATATTCACACTATCCATGCCCCTCATGATTTTATAAACCTCTATAAGGTCACCTCTCAGCCTCTGAAATGCCAGGGAAAATACCCCCAGCCTATTCAGCCTCTCCCTATAGCTCAAACCCTCCAGCCCTGGCAACATCCTTGTAAACCTTTTCTGAAACCTTTCACGTTTTACAACGTCCTTCCTATAGCAGGGAGATGCACACAGAGAATTGCACACAGTATTCCAAAAGTGGCTTATCCAAATGTCCTGTACAGCCTCAACATGACCCCCCAACTCCTATATTCAATGTAATGACCAATAAAGCCAAGCATACCAAACGCCTGCTTCCTATCTACCTGCGACTCCACTTTGAAGGAACTATGACCCTGCACTCCATAGAACATAGAACCCAAGGTCTCTTTGTTCAGTAACACTCCCCAAGACCTTACCATTAAGTGTATTAGTCCTGCCCTGATTTGCTTTTCCAAATGGTAAACTCCATCTGCCACTTCTCAGCCCACTGGCCCATCTGATCAAGACCCCGTTTGTTCTCCGAGGTAACTTTCTTCGCTGTCCACTACATTTCTAATTTTCATGTCATCTGCAAACTTACTAACCATGCCTCCTATCTTCACATCCAAATCATTTATATAAATGACAAAAAGCAGTGGACCCAGCAGCGATCCTTGTGGCATACCGCTGGTCACAGGTTTCCAGTCTGAAAAGCAACCAACCATCACCACCCTCTGTCTTCTACTTTCGAGCCAGTTCTATATCCAAAAAGCTAGTTCTCCCTGTATTCCATGTGATCTAACTTTGTTAATCACTCTATCATGAGGAAAATTATCAAACACCTTACTGAAGTCCATATAGATCACATCCACCGCTCTGCCCTCATCAATCCTCTTTCTAACTTTTTCAAAAAACCCTATCAAGTTAGTGAGACATGATTTCCCACACACAAAGCCATATTGGCTATCCCTGATCAGTCCTTGCCTTTCAAAATACATGTAAATCCTGTCCCTCAGGATTCCCTCCAACAACTTGCTCACCAGTCTATAGTTCCCTGGCTTTTCCTTACCACTTTTGTAAATATGGCACCACATTAGCCAACCTCCAGTCTTCCAGCATCTCACTTATGGCTATCCATGACACAAATATCTCAGCAAAGGGCCCAGCAATCACTTCCCTAGCTTCCCACAGGCTTCTAGGGTACATCTGATCAGGACCTGTGGATTTATTTATCTTTATGCATTTTAAGCCATCCAGCACCACCTCCTCTGTAATATGGACACTTTTCCAGATGTTGCTATTTATTTCCCCAAGTTCTCTATCTTCCATATCCTTCTCCACAGTAAACACTGAAGTAAAATACTTGTTTAGTATCTCCCTCATCTCCTGTTGTTCCACACCAAGGGGGCCTTGCTGATTTTTAAGGGGCCCTATTTTCTCTCTAGTTACCCTTTTGTCCTTAATGTATTTGTAGAATCCCTTTGGATTCTTCTTAAGGCTATTTACCAAAGCTAGCTCATGTCCCTTTTTTTCCCCTCTTAAATATACTCCTACTGCCTTTATACTCTTCTAGGGATTCACTTGATCTCTGCTGTCTATACCTAACATATGCTTTCTTCTTTTTCTTGACCAAACCTCAATTTCTCTAGTGATCCAGCATTCCCTGCAACCACCAGCCTTGTCCTTCACCCTAACAGGAACATACTGTCTATGGACCCTCCTTATGTCATTTTTGAAGGCTTCCCATTTTCCAGCCATCCCTTTACCCGCAAACATCTGCAACCACCACCCCACCCCGCCATCCCCCCACTCCCCCACTCCCCCACTCCCCCAATCAACTTTTGAAAATTCTTGCTTAATACTGTCAAAATTGGCCTTCCTCCAATTTAGAACTTTAACTTTTAGATCTGGTCTATCCTTTTCCATCACTATTTTAAAACTGACAGAATTATGGTCGCTGGCCCTAAAGTGCTCCCCCATGACACCTCAAGAAATAAGGCTGGGCAGGTGACAAAGAGTAGGTCAAGTTTTGCACCTTCTCTAGTAGTTAAAGCCACATGCTGAATCAGAAATTTTTTTTTGTACACACTTATATTCATCTCCATCCAAGCCTTTAACACTACGGCAGTTCCAGTCTGTATTTGGAAAGTTAAAATCCCCTACAATAACCACCCCATTATTCTTGCAGATAACTAAGATCTCCTTACAAATTTGTTTCTCAGTTTCCCACCGACTACTGGAGTGTCTATAGTACAATCCCAATAAGGTGATCATCCCTTTCTTATTTCTCAGTTCTGCCCAAATAACCTCCTTGGATGTATTCTCAGGAATATCCCCTAACAGACTTGAAACACTAATTCTGCTTTCTCCTCACAAATGCTAGATCTGCTGTTTTTCTCCATCACTTTCCATTTTTGTAACTTTAAGCTTGAACTGGTCTATTACTTCTTCAAACCATTAGAGGGGGATTGGTGGGAATGCAGCAGGCCACAGTGAGGTGGCAGCCTTCATATGATGTGTTGATAATGTGCAGACATGAGGAGCAGAACAGCCACATTCAATGGGGTGCTATTTTATGACCTGATTAATGAATAGATTTGACTACAGCAATGACCCATTTGTAAGCATAAAGAGTTTGGATATTTTGGCCAAAAGTTAGGGGTTGACATATCGAAAAAATTTTTGAAAAATTAATCTATTTTTGGCCAAAAGCTAGGGGTCACTTTCTACACAAGATCAACCATTACTTTAAAGTATACATGTTTATAAAGGTAATCATCTCAGTACCATACCCACTCTTGAATGTAAATTCCATATTCACTATAATTTTTGAGCAGCCTCAACACAATTACTTTAAGATGGTCATTTTTGGACTACTAACAATTTAAACTGAATCAGTGGTAGACTTTATTCAATTTAAAGGACAGCTGACTTTCTCCATTCTAGTATTGCAAGTTTCAGACAAATGAAGTCTCACAGTTCACTTTCAGTTTATGATATCAACAGCCCATTTGTCTGACTACATTTAAAGATAACACGTATCCCTACTTAATTACGTTGGAATAGATAACATGTTCAGTCTAAGCCCAGGCCGGTCCGGGAGATGAATCCTGGTGGTAGGTCCCAGGCCGGAGGCCAACACGAGGAGGCAGCTAGGCCTCGAGTTCTGAAGCTGGTAGGTACGGACTCAGTGAGAAGGACTGTAATTTTGTGTACTTCTTAAAGATATGTTTATTCTTAATCCACACGTTGAGTATTTTGAGCACTCTTTAAAAAAACCTTATTTTCCTATGCTAGACTAATTTGCTGTTACTCTTTCAATTCTGTAATGAACACTTACGAATCTGTACCTAGGCATCCTGTACCTAAGATGGCACCAAAGCAGTGACATTACAAACTTTTCACTACACTCATTTGAGTGCATGTGACAATAAAGGCTATTTTATTCTATTCTATGTTTGTTTGGCTCATGTGTGAAACTTGCAAAATACAAAACCACAGCACAAAACTGCCCATATTGACAAATATTGATGGCATTAAACTATCATGAAATTGAATGGAAGCTTGAGGAACAATATCTCAACTTTTGATTAGACACATTTCATTCTTCTCAATTTAATGCAGAGTTCAACAGTTCCAAATCAGAACCATAACTTTCTTTTCCGGACAGTAGCTATTGGTGATGCCCAGAAGTTGCCATTTGCCACGTCTACACACCTATCTTTTCTTGCCCCTTTACAATCTTGCATCATCATCGCTTCTATCATTTAATCTCTCCCATCTTACATCTTATCACAGATGTTCCCATTTGTTCTTTTCTCCCCTCCTCCCTTCCCCGACTCTTAAAGCCTGTAATTAATTTTAAATTAATTTTGCTTTTTTGTGTGCAAATGGTAAGCATTAACTGGAGTTTCACTTGCACTCCTATAAAGGGACATCTGCACTACCTGCAATAGCGTAAAACCAATGTTTATGGAAGTAAGGAATGGAATAAAACAGCTTCACCTTCCAAACATTTTCCAAAGCTGACGAAAATTCATCAACCGAAATGATAACTTTGCTTCTATCTCTCTCTACAGTTGATGAGTTTTTTTTTCGCGTTTTTGTTTTCAGACTAAATTGGCATGTTTGGATAGTATTGGAAGGGTGATGCAAGTTACAAATGTGATGCAGTAATGAGACTTTTTTCAAGCACAGAACTAGAATAGATCATTGAGACAAACTAAACTATTGAAGGCTAATACAAAACAGATGTGATTTACCTCTTCCGTTGTAGTCGATTGGAGAACATTACCTTCAAAAGCCAATCCTCGACACTGCATAGAACAGATCCGTTATGACAGATTTTCTCTTTTCAAAATTGACTTTAGAAAACAAATTTTTGAAAAAAGGAGCTTGACTGAAGCACTGATAAGTACACTGACCTTCTGTAAAATTTTCCAGACTCGCTGATAAAAACCAACAGGGACTCTGTTGAGTGCTCCATCAATGCGCCTTCGCCGCAGCCATTGTCCAAAGCGTGCATCAATGAAATCACTGTCCTCCAACGGAACAGTGGCGAAAGTCTCAGGCACACTGGAGAATTGCTTACTTGCCAGCTGTAATTTACAGAGAATTTTGTAATGTGCTTACAATGAATGTTCCAGTGTATATTAAGGTAAAGCAAAGCGATTTAAACTGCTCAATGCTCCAGCTTCCATCATCACACATACATTAGACTGCTCACAGTAATCAGAAGCCAAAGGCAGACATAACCAAAATTATGACTTAGCCAAAATTATGACATAACCATCATCCTATGATAATTAAAAGTATTCATAGAAATGGCAAGTTTAATTATGCATTGCAAAAAGTACTGTAATCTGCTAAGTCATACGAATATTTTATGCATTTATAAAAATGAAATGGTTACCAAAATGCCTCCCATCTTACACCATGATAAAATTCATGATATTTGTCAATCCCTATGAATGGCAGCATATCAAAACAGTCTATGGAGCACTGCATGCTACTGGTGAAAAGTAACCTTGAAATTGAGTCTTCATTATTTGTCAATGATAACATTTATTGTGCATTTTATATACTTAGCTTGCATTGTTCAATTTTCTAGAAGCAGTCATTTTTTTTGTACTTTCATGATCCCTTTCCACTGTAAAAGGGGCTCATATTCTGTAAAATTGCTGGTATTGATCAAAAAGAACGAACATAAAAAGCACTTCCTTCAAAACTCCCTAACCATAGAACATCCCTAGGAAGGGTAGGGTCTGGTTCGGAAGGAAACAGGCTGTGAAAAGTGTCATTTATAACATTGACTTAAAATGGCCACAGGTATTACCCCGTCACCCAGAGTTTGGTCAAGTTTCATGAAACTAATGTGGATTAGAAAATAGATGCCCTGAAAGTAACAATTTTCCTAAAAAGGAAACTAAACCAGTTCTCCCCAGAGGCATGAAAAATCTTCCATTTCCTATCTGACTTACATCTTCATGAGAATCATTTAGCAGATGAAACCATCACCTACATCCAGCCTGAATATTGAACTCAGCAGATAAGAGATACAAACAAGTTGCTATTTCAAGAAGGACTCCCTTCAGAAGACCAGAAATTTGAAACGAAGAATGCAATCATGAACACAAGTGGACTCTCTGTCCATCAAAAATAAAGGTGCCCAGTTCCCACAATAACAACAGGGAGAGGCATCCAGGAGCTGAGGACATTAAATATAAACACTAGCTTTACAATTAGTGATGCCCAAAAAAAGGCAACCAACCAACTCCATTTTATTGGAGTGTGTGCATGTCTGTCTGTCTGTGTGCGCGTGCACGCCTGCCTGTCTGTGTGTGGTGATTTCCATGTTGGCTGCATTATTTACCTGTATTTGAACAGAGAAAGGTATGGCCGTGTGCTAAAATGTACTTTAACTTTTATTGCAACCAACGCAGGAGTTGAAAAGATTCACCCCTCCTTTACCTGGTTGTAACAAAGTCATGAGGTCCACTTATTGTAGTAGAATTAAAATTTGCTATGTACATACTGTATCTTGTACTTTATGCCAGTACTGCTACCTGCACATTGAGATAATGGGATCTTGTGTTGATATACAATGTCCCCGGGGCTGCTTGCTCCTTAGCTTTAAGTAAGGATTTTCAATACCTTGTGTACTTATTTATATTTGTACATAGTAGGTTCTCAAATACAGCTGTAGTGGTGTCTAAAATCTCTCTTTTCACATGTTTATTTTAGACTGATGTCTTCTGTCTTACTGATGTCTGATTCAGTTACATCATCATTATTATTTGTATGAATCTCATTATATCACAGAAACCATCTAAAATTACTTGCACAGAAACATTTACAAGCAACAGACCATGCTCAATTGTCAATGTGAATTTCCACCTCAGGTCCTACAACACTTTTTAATACTCTTTTTGATTTGAGGTAAGGCATGCAGACATCGAAGACTAGACAGTTAATACACAATGATTCTGACCCAGATTGAAAAGACGCAATTGAGCAACAAATTAATTACCAAAAGTATTAATAAACATTATACAATATTGTTAACGTTAATAGTTATTACCTCTTGCATTTCACCAATCATAATTTCAGATGTCATCTGGGATTCCGTCTACAAGGATGAGAAACAACACATGTTAAAGAACACAATAGAATATGTAAAATAATTTTGCTGTTTTCTGGCCTGTCAAAGCAAATTGAAAAGTTAGTGACTTCAAATGTTCAAGATATGAAAATTAAGAGGAAAGTGGTCAGTTGTTTTTTGTGATTTCATGCAAAAAGCAAAATTAAAATCCATGGTTAAAAATGTCATTAGAACAGAAATACCTATAAACCTGCAAGTGAGTAGGTTCCTGTTAGGATTATATCAGGCCTCACTCGAAACACTGATTTATTTTTCTTTATGCTGAACAATCTTTACTGCATATTTATTATTTTCTATTTATTTCGGATTTCAACTCTTCTTTTTGTCTCTGCATGGCAACAATTTAATCAGAAGGTCAAGTTATGAATTGAAGTTCTGTTAGAATAATTTATTGCGTTTACCAAAAAAGGAAAATAATTAGCTTGCATTCATATAGCATCTTTTGCATCGTCAGGGTATTCCAAAACACTTCACAACTAATAATGTACTTTTGAAGTATGGTCATCGCTGTAATGCAGGTAAATATAGTCATCAAAATTTATGTACAAAATTCCATAAATAACAATAAAATAAATGAGAGTGGGCTAAGATTTTAGGACACAATGGGGACAAGCATAGAGCTAGGAGCATGTGGTAATGTGCACCATTGACCAGCACCATCCTGCCTCTCGATTATTTTCAAAAAGGCAGGACTGGCAGGAAATGCAGTAATAGGGTTAACCTCCTGAAAGTATTACGTAGCCAATTAAGCACCCTCAAAAGCCTCTTAAAATTTCATTGTCAGATATCGTGAGGGGGTACCAGCATTCCAGGAAGGTGGAGAGAGCTTCATAACCTATCTAGTTTCAACCGCAGTCACAGGCCACTGTGAGAGAGAAAGGGTGTGTGTGTGCGCGTGCCTGAGAGAGAGTGAGGGAGAGAGAGAGTTCATTTTTTAAAAATTAACAGGCTGAGGGTGTCACTGACTAGGCCAGCATTTATTGGTCATTCCTAATTGCCCACAAGGTAGTTCAGAGTAAACCATATTGCTGTGGGTGTGGAGTCACATGTAGGCCAGACCAGGTAAGGATGCCACTTTCCTTCCCTAAAGGACATTTGGGAACTAAATGGGTTTTCCCAACAATCGACAATGGATTCACGGTCATCATTAGATTCATAATTCCAGATATTTTATTGAATTCAAATTCCACCATTTGCCTTTGCAGGATTTGAATCTGGGTCCCCAGAATGTTATCTAGGTCTCTGGATTACCAGCCTAGCGATAATACCCCTAGACCATTGCCTCCCCTCCACTTACAGTGCTCATCCAAGTACTGTTTAAAGGTTGTGAGGTTTCCAGGATTTGAACCTAGGTCCCCAGAACGTCATGTGTCTCTGGATTAACAGTCCAGTGGTAGTACCACTGGGCCGTCACCTCTCCTGTGTGTGTGTGCGCGTGCGCACATGTGGGGGGGGGGGGAAGAGAGAGCACACAAGGCAGGGGGGAAGAGAGCGGGTTGGGGGGGGGGGGGGGAAAAGAGTGTGCGTGAGAGCGTGCGAGAGAGAGAGAGAGCAGGCACACGAGAGTGAGTGTGCGTGGGTCTGTGTGCGTCTGAGAGACTCCACTGTTAAGGGCTCTCTCGCCTACCTGATAAAGACGCTGCTGCTTCTTCCATGCATCTGCTATTAGCCATCTTACTTGATAAGACCGTTCTCTAACCAAAATTTGCCAATTTAGGGACAGGTGCTGCCAGTGATTGTTTGTCCAACTGTTTGGACCTGAGCCCTATTTGATCGTGACATTGGGATCCTGAAGCCAGCAAAGCTCTGTCCCAGTTTGCGTTGCTGGTTGAGGGGTACATATTGGCCTGAATATCAACCTCCCTGATTATGATCCTTCAAGTGGTCTTTTACATCTATCAGAGATGGAAGAAACAAAGACAGAGAAAATAGTAGGAGTAGGCCACTCAGCTATTCAAACCTGCTCAACTATTCATTATGATCATAGTTGATCAATGCAATCTCTATGTTAGTCCTGCAATCCCAGGAATCAGTCTGGTAAATTTTTGCTGCACTTCCTCTATAGCAAGAGCACCCTTCTTCAGATAAGCATGAAGGAAAGTTATTTTGTTGCACTCTGATGAACAAGTTGGTGATACTTACGGTGAAAAATTCTGTTAAATAGGAGAGAGAAGGATTAAATATAGGATGCGTGCAATCAGATAAAAGTGCAACCAAATCATTGCATGCAACAATTACATGTCTTGTAACAGAGAACACTGTACTTGTGATGCACTACTGTCTTAATTAAAAACTTTAAACCGACGGTTAAGTTGCATCTTCAAAGCAATGCACAGTGTTTAATGCTCTGTGGAGAAGTAGTTAGGTGTTGAGGCAGGTAAAAAAAAAAGTTTAAAGTTGTGGAAGCTATAGTTCCAGCTACAAACATGTCACCTCCTTATTCGTTACACCAGCAGAAAATCTACGTGAATCCATCTACAAATAGGGAAAAAAATACCAGATATTTAGTGACATGAAATTTACACGTTGAGTGAGAGACTTTCAAGGTGCAATATTACTTTATAAAATGGCAGAATCATTGCTATCTCAATTCTACTGCTACCAAACTGCCAAAACATTTACATATCATGTGTTTCCCACATCAACTCATGACATTTTACTCTTTCCTCACATAAATAAGGATACAGCACATAATATTATTGTCCTGTGATATAAATCACTGTCTTCCTGTGAATAACCTCGAATCTTCCGGGTAGAAATCAAATGCTAGGTGTTGTCAAGGCAAGTGAAATTAAAGTCAATCATAGTCAATAACCAAAACTGTGCTTCCAATGCACAACAAGTTCTGTTGGGATATTGCTTAGATCTATTGGACAAAAATTAAATTGCGATTTAATAACAGAACCAATAACTGAATGGTAACAATGAATGATTTTACATTAATTCCCCACCCCTTGGAATATTGCATATACTAAAATTCAGTGTTTTTAAAGAAGAAAATGTCCCCAATTTCATCTATCACCCAAGATTGTGACCCAGATTGTAAATCAAACAGCACACTCCACTCATCATGTTTACCAGCTATTCACATGCTTTGGACAGCTTCAGTAGACCAAGTTACTGCAGTTAGAAATTCATTTCAGCATAGCGTCATCTACAGGAAACCTGGAAGCTGAGTGAAACTTTAACTTCAAGGAATGGGCCGGTTTGCGAAGTGATAAGTTGATTAAAGAAACAAATTGGCACTACACTGGAAAGCCATTTTCAGCCTACGAACTTTTATATTTAACTGCATCATATTCAGTTGTATGCTAGAAACCCACTTGGGAAAGGCATATTGCCAACTTAAAAACAGGTTAGGTGATTAACAGTTTTTTTTTTTAAAAATTGAGATTTTCAAATATAACCGTGGTTGAATGGGTTTCTCAACTTTGCTGCAACTTGTCATTGAATTCTAGGAACAGCACAGCAGCAACTAAAGGGGCTGAACAAATAACAGACAAGAAATCCTGTAAGTAATGAAATCTCACATCTTCCATCCATGCCTAAGTGAAAGTCTTTTGCTCACAATACCTGTGAGTTCACTTTCACTCCTGTGGAGGTGATATCTATTGCTTGAGGAGATTTTCACCACACGTTCTCCAAGTTGGAGGTTTGTCCATTTGATTTCCACTTTACATTTGTCATATACAACATTACCTTCAGGCCCCTTCCAGGGACACACAACAGACGTACAGAAATTCTCAGTCAGCCACCCACAAATGCATCACACCGGTGACAAATGTCACGTTTGCCAGGGCAGTTAATTTCAAACTCTTTCACAATGATGATGCAAGCCAGCATGAACCAATGCTCAGGTTCGAGGTGCTTACTCATTTCTACGGCTGAAGGACAACATTGAATGCACACACCAACAATCAAGTTACTCCTAGATCACCTAGAAATGTTCATCAATCACAGAAGTTTCCACCCTGTCAAGGTCATGACTCTGTCCTGTCTGAAACCACAAAAAAAAAGAATGCTGGTGCAAGATTTCCAGGGAGCATGATATGTATTTTTCCAAGCAAACCCTCCATGAACTCTTCACACTCAGAATGCACTTACTGGCTAGCTGCTTGAAAACGAGGACCATCTACCTAAAAGATGGCTGATGACACTTATGCACCTAAATAATGAGGCCCAGAAGCACGACAGTTAAAGACAGCTACCAAGTATATCAAATACTGAACAAATAATTAGGATGTGGAAGATGTACTTGGTGGATCTAGAGACATCCTTCAATATACACCAGCCATGCTCCCAAGAACGAGGACTGCTGCCTTTTACACAACATAGTGCAGGAGTGCCAAAGGCTCCTCATTCGACTTGCATTCCTGTGACAAAATCTACACAGCTGTCAGCCCTTGAAAACCTATTATTGGTCACCTGTGTGAAATTTCTTTGTGAGCTGCCAATCGCAAAGTCTAGCAAATATCTCTTTTGGGAGGGAGAAGATATATAGCACAATATCTTCTCAGAGCAGAAGAAAGAATGTTATATAAACATTACACCAACAGTCTAAAACAATGCTCTCTAGGATGGCACCCTAATGGCTCATCTGGTAGCCACATGCTGATTACACTCTATTATCCACCTTTTCCCACAAGCCAAACCAATCTTGCCGTCCACAACCACCTATTACCTAGCTTTCAGTCCTATCTCACCAGTCATCACAAATGGGGGAGATTGACGATTTTTTTTTACTATAACTCAATATCATACAGAAAATTAACATTGGTCAACATTGTGCGGTAATAAATCTTTGTTCTTTCTCGTCCAAACAACTTCACTGGATATTTAACGGGTATATATTTGAATGCAGAGTCTCTCTGAAAAATACTGGCCTGGTGAAGCTTGTAATAGACTACAGGAACTTTCAGATGCTACTTCTAACTTCACATGTGTGGAAGTTGTATGATACCACTCGACTTCTCCACAACAAACAGGACGCACTGATAGCTGTTAGCACAAAATCTGGGCAAATGATTCATGCTAAGGATAACTCCAAAGGTTTTGCCTAGTCTCCGGAGCCACATAGTACCCATTTTTCAGTGTAACTGGCAAAAAAAAAATCACATTTGCTTGGCACAAACAAGCAAGTGATAGGAGCAGAAACTACACCAAGCACCCTTGTGAATTTTTAAACCTCCCTGCCCAGAAGGGCCAATACAGTGCACCCCAATTGCAAATGGTAAATTAAACAACCGGGGTGAATCTTATCTGTTTGACAATGGAAAATTAACATCTTTATCTTTTAACAGCATTTAGAAATGCTTATGTATACATATATGCAGTATGTACATCAGATAAATGAGCTGCTCACCTGCTTCATTTCAACCTTCAACTTGCTAATTCCAGCTCTTTCACTTTTTGTAGCCCCTGTGTGATCTACGTCATGAATGGAAATATGTTTCCAAGTAGAATGATCACCTATAGATAGTCAAATGAAATGGTCACAGTTAAAACAGCGATATAAATTGTACATATTAGATTAACAGTTGCATCTAAAAATAGGTTACAACTCAACTTCAATCTGAATTACAGGAAATAAGACAAGGTTTTAAAAAATTATACTAGTCCAGGACCACAGAGGTTCAAGAGGGCAGCTCATTGACATCTTTTCCAGGACAATTCAGGATGGGCAATAAATCATGGCCTTGCCAGAGACACTCATATCCTTTCAATGAATTTTAAGAAGTCTCACTGAGGCATGAAGGTGAAATATAAACAAAATAAATACTTATTCACATACATGGATTTCATTCTTAAGATATTTCAAATAACACAAGACAATAGACTGCTGAACAGTAGAGTATGATTTGATGTGCGAAGTTGCTCCTCAAGACAAAATGACTAATAGACATTGAGACAGTTTAAATTGCCCTAAAGTTATCACTGCACTAATATAAACATTTAATTGTTCATTTTAAATTGGGTAACAATTCTTTATACAATGCCAAGGCAATATTACCCAAATACAGTAGGCAAATCCTACCACTGGAAATTAAACTTTCATAATAAGTCACACTGCAGCATTTAATCTTTCAAGGCAAAAAATGAACAAAAAATTTCCAGTTCATCCCTAAATATAACCTAGTTAAACCATCTTCCTGACCTCTCCAACTTTCAAAAGTTTTCATTTCCTTGATGTTTTCTTCACTTCATAACCAGGATGAAGCAGATAAGTACCCTTAAAGGTGCCTGCTAGTTTATAAACACCAACACATGTTATGATGTAGACTAATATTTACACATATTTTAAGCTCATTTAAGTTTGGATTTATAGATTAGTCATATATGGGTTTTTGTGTGTCTGAAGAGTTTAAAGATCAACTTGTAGGTACTTATATAACTGTGGTGATTTCTTTAAAACAGTTTGAGACAGTTAACTTTCAGAGCCAATGGGTTTTGTGTACACATTAGGAGGGTTTACAGCCATGCCAGGTTAAATAAAAACTGTGCATCAGGTTTCTGTCAGAATATTATGGAGTGTTTTAAGCTTCAGGAAAATGACCATAACTTGGAAGAAAAAAAATGTATTTTTGATTTTCCATTTAAGGCAGTTCAGATGTCCTTGGATGAAGTTAGATGTAATTAGCAGCTCTCCTAAGAGAAGACAGTAAAAACTGATTACCTAGAGGAGGAGGTTTGGTGATACTCCCTGACCGGAAGTGTTTGGATAAAACCCTGAAGAAAGCATTTGAAGCAGAGAATATTTAAAGTCAAATGTACGAAAGCTCCAGTAAAAAGCTAATTGATTTCCCAGTCTGGAAGAATGATGTCACAGTTAACTTGAACCTATCAAGTTGTTATAACAAGCTTTTTCTCTGGTGTGGGTATAAGGATTCTTTTGGGTACTGTTAAGGTGTGTTTAGGATCTGTAAAGGAGTATTCTGGAAATTTTTTCATTCATTCACAGGATTGTGGGTGTCACTGGTTAGACCAGCATTTATTGCCCATCCTTAGTTGCCCAGAGGGCAGTTAAGAGTCAACCACATTGCTGTGGGTCTGGAGTCACACGTAGGCTAAACCAGGTAATGATAGCAGTTTCCTTCCCTAATGGACATTAGCAAAAGATAACAATGGTTTCATGGTCATCATTAGCTTTTTAATACCAGATTTTTATTGAATTCAAATTCCACCATCTGCCATGGCAGAAGTTGAACCTGGATTCCCAGAACATTTCCTGGGTCTCTGAATTAATAGTCCAGCAATAATACCACTAGCTATCGTCTCTGCTTTAATTAGTGAGATTTATTTCTACTACACATTTACAAATCTCTAAAGATGTATTTTATGTATAACGTTTGGTCTATTTGATTTTATCTTAATTTCTTTTGGTTAATTATCTTCTGTGCTATTGTTAAAATCAAATCCACAACATTGCATAGTTATGTTTCAGTGAGAGATTACCTTGTTAAAACTAAAACGAAATATGATCTATTTAGCCAGATTTCAATCTGGGATCAGACTTGTCCAGTAATAGCATCAGCAGGGCGGGTTACAAATTTCATGCATAACAAAAGAAAAAAACTCTCAAAATGATCATGCAGCCTGAAATTTAACTTAAATCATCTACCAAAGCACAAAAAAAAAACTACCCCAACTTTGGAAATTTTTTCTAACAGAACCATATTCTCAATTACATACAAATATGTGGACACTAAAAAGCTTTTCATATTGCAATGTATTTCTGAAAGGAAGACACTTACTTCCTGCAACACAATTATTTTTATTAAACCACCTACCCTCTTAAAACTCTTATTCATATGCGCCAATGAGCTGTATATAATGGTGTTGATTGATTCCCATCTATTTCTGTCTTGTATCTCAGTTTCGTTTACATATTTGTAAATACACTTTGTCAGCAGCTATTGTTGCCATGATCAGACTTTGTACAGCTTTTATCCCCCTGTAGATTCCATTATTTACCTGCTTTGCAATCATTATATGAGACATTCAAGGAATAAAATCAATGCACGATGTCCATCTTTGCTCACAGACTTTCTATGAATGGACACCTTTCCTTCCTTTGATGTACACTTTCATTGATCACTGTTCAACCATTTGATTTTAGAAGAGTTATGACAAGCAAATGAAAGCTGTTTGAGCTTGTTTGGGACGGCTGTATTGGACCACCATAATTCAAATTCCTGTCAGATTCAAGACAGAGGGAAAAGTTTTAAAAGTCCATGTTCAAATTTGCCTTAGGCTTATTTCCCCATCAATGACCTCTTCTGTTTACAAGCAGAGAATATTATTTGAGAGACACAGGTTGTTGCAAGGCTATTTGTCCTATGACTTCAATATTCCATTTTTACTCCCAAAAGTGGTGTGAAATCTTCCGCTTTCATGGATGGTGAGCTTGGAAGCAGGAAGGGTGAGGTGGCATAACTGAATCCCATACTCTAGAATTAATTCTGAGCAGGAAAACACTTGGTCAATATTCCCACACCACTGCTAATTGACGCTCGTAAATGACCAATTAATGACTACTTGAGGGCCTCATCTCACTGCTGGTGTGGCCAGCTTATCACCTCTAGGGAGGCCCCTTCAATCAGGGGCACCTAACAGCTGATTGAGGGACTGGACAGCAGGAAAGCAAGGTGGTGATGGGGACGAAAGTTATGGAACCACTGAGAGACACCCAGTGCTCTTTTTGCCATTACCTCTGCAGCTGTCTCCTGGTCAACCTCACCACATCACTTAGCTGTGGCCCAGTTCATTCCACATTGATTTATTTATTTATTGTCAAATGTACCAAAAGACAGCAAAAAGCTTTGTTTACGAGCGGTACAGGCAGATTGTAGTAAGCAAAGCACGTACAGATCAAAAAGACTTAGACAGAGGCATACAGGTTACATCGCACAGGGCATGCGTTAGGCAAGATCAACGTTAGCAAAATCAGCATTATTTGAGGCTAGAGAGTCCATTCATTCATCGGTCTGATAATGGTCGGGAAGAAGCTGTTCCTGAACCTGCTCATGCATGCGTTCAGGCTTCTGTATCTTCTGCCTGATGGAAGAGGTTGTAGGAGGTCATTACCAGGGTGTGATGGGTCTTTCATGATGTTGGCAGCCTTTTCACAGCAGTGTAAATGGAGTCCATGGATGGAAGGTTGGCTTCCATGATGGTCTGGGCTGTGCATACCACCTTCTGTAGTTTCTTACAGTCCTGGGCAGAGCAGCTGCCATACCAGGTCATTATGTACCCAAGCAACATGCTTTCAATGGTGCATCTGTAGAAGTTGGCAAGGGACCTTATGGACATGCCAAATTCCTGAGATGTCCAAGGAAGAAGAGGCATTGTTCTGCCTTCTTGACTGTCGCATCCACATGGGAAGTCCAGGACAGGTCGTCGGTTATCGCCACTCCGAGGAACTTGATGCTCTTCATCCTCTCAACCTCAGTTCCGTTGATGTAGATGGCGGTGTGTTCTCCTCCTTTCTTTTTGAAGTGAACGATCAGTTCTTTATTTTTGCCAATGTTGAGTGACTGATTGTTTTCATTGCACCATGTCACCAAGCCCGCTATCTCCCTTCTGTAGTTTGACTCGTAGTTGTTAGATACCCATCCCGCTACGGTGGTGTTGTCAGTGAACTTGTAGTTGGCGTTCATTCAGAATTTGGCAACACAGTCGAAGGTGAAAAGGGAGTAGAGCAGGGGGCTGAGGACAGGGAGGTGGGGGCTCCAGCGTTGAGTGTTATTGTGGAGGTGGTGCAGTTGCCTATCCTCAATGATTGCAGCCCGTAGGTCAGAAAGCCAAGGATCCAATTGCAGAGGGCGAAGCTGAAACCAAGGTCACAGAGATTTGAAATCACTCTGGAGGGGATAATGGTGTTGAAGGTGGAGCTGTAGTCAATGAGCAGGAGGCTGACATAGGTGTCTTTGATGTCCAGATGTTTCAGGGATGAGTGCAGGCCTTGGGATTCGGCATCCTCTGTGGATCTGTTATATCAGTAGGCAAACTGTAGGTGATCGCAGGCAGGTTGGCGGACTGGAGTTGATGTGGGCCATGACCAGCCTCTCAAAGCACTTAATGATTTTTGAAGACAGAGCCACTGGGTGGTAGTCATTAAGGCATGCTGCATATGTTTTCTTAGGTACAGGGATGATGGTGGTCTTCTTGAAGTAGGTGGGGACTTTGGCTTGTAGGAGAGAGAGGATGAAGTTGTCGGTGAATACCTCTGCCAATTGGTCCGCACAGGACCTGAGTGTTTGGCTGGGGACACGGTCCAAGCCTATCATTTTACTCGGGTTGACTTCCAGGAAGACCGATCTGACGTCTGAAGCGGTGACTTCAGTAGGACCTTATCTGACCAGCCACTGCTTCCCCAGAGCACGAGCTGTCAGCTGGATTGGCTGAAAGGCTCACCACATGCCTCACCATTGGCTTGTGATTGATAGACCTTCCTGAAAAGAGGTAACGTGGATCCCTCACTGGTTCTCTACCTGACACACGAAGTGACTGAAGCTTGAATAAGATTCTGCCATTGTCTCTCCAACCATGTCCACATTTTCACCCTTTTACTACAGGACTGAATTCACTAAAGGATTCTCCATCATTGAGCTTCTGATTGTTAACTGAAACAGCAAATACAATGTAGCTATGCTGAAGTAACCTATTTACACAGACAGAATCTAAACCCTTAATAATTCTGAAGACCTCAATGTATTCCCTGGAAATCAGTACTTCTCCTTAATAAAAAGTTCCATCTCTCTCCAAGACTGGAAAGATAATTAAACCAGTTAGAAAACAACTGGCCCTTCTCTGAAACTGTTCCAGAGCCTTACATACTGAGGGGATCGAAACCAGCTGCTAATTCAATATAAGATCTCATCAAGACTTTACAAAGCCAAGGCTTATATTTTTGCTTTTATACTTTGTAATGTCCTTACAATTAAACATATCACATATGTTTGATCTTGGACACTGGCGAGTACAGAAGGTATCTGAAATTTTGACACTTAACCAAATCAAACTCATTTTTTTTTCCTGAATATCTGAATTAATGTTCAAAATGATGAAAAAGTCAAATTATGTCATAAACCATTTTATAAAATACTCTCCACTAAGAGATGACATTCCTATGCATTAAATCATACTTTGATCTGTATAATTCATCAGTAATATAACCATGTCCACATTTTTGTAAAAGATTAAATAAAATTTTAGAAAACAACCATTTTTCTCGACTTTAAATTCCTTTCCACTCAGAATATGGTGCAGAAGAGTCTTCAAATGAGAAGGTCTCATCGAAATTAAATATTCAGTTGCTTCTTCGCCTACAGAAAGTTTAAAAAATTATGGCAAAGATTATTGCAATTAAAAATATCAAATATTACACCACAAGTCACTGAACATTATGTAGTGTCTTTAATGTATAAGTTATACTAAATTTGAAGATGTAATTCTTGTCACATCGTAAAAACATGTGCACAGACATCAGAGAGGATGCAAAAAGGCCAAAGGTTGACTTTTCGTATAGAAGAATTTAAGCTATGAGAAACCACTCAAGAAGCTTAAACTCTATGTCTGGAAAATGGAAGGTTATAGATGCAAGCTGACAAAAACCGAGGGCAGGATTTTGTCTTTCAGGTCAGGATCCTGGCTGTTCCAAGCAAATGGAGGTCACATTCTTGAACTATGTGGAGAACAGCTTTTTGGAAGTAGTTTTACCTAATTGGTAAATCAACAGCCAGAGGATGGGTTTGTCAACCAATTAAGGACAGTGCTGGGGCTTTCACAGTTGAGATACAAGGTCCTCTTGCGGCACAGTGGTAGTGTCCCTATTTCTCGACTGGGAGGCCCAGGTTCAAGTCCCACCTGCTCCAGAGGTGCGTAATAACAACTCTGTGCCTGCAAAAATAGTAGACTCGCCAACTTTAAGGGCATTTAAATGGTCATTGGATAAACATATGGATGATAATGGAATAGTTTAGGTTAGATGGGCTTCAGATTGGTTTCACAGGTCGGCGCAACATTGAGGGCCGAAGGGCCTGCACTGCGCTGTAATGTTCTAATGTTCTATGAACAGGTTGATTAGCAAAACAGGTCAAAGAGAAGATAATTAGAAGTCCCCTGACATTAAAGGGAATGAAATTTGTTCAGAAAGGGAAAGAGTGTGCTTCCATGTTGCAAGCATCATTTCTTCAACATTTTAAATTTTCAACTGAAATTCAACTCGTGGTTAGGGAGTGCAGACAGATCCAAGCTTCTGACATTGCTAGCAGCTTGTCTGTACAGGAGAGGTGAAGAAATACAAAGGAGGAGTGATAGTGATTTGGGATTCATGAGTTAGGGAGACACACAGACATTTCTGTGGCTGTCAGTATGAATCCAGTATGGTATATTGCCTTCCTTTGTTAAGGATGTTAGAGTGGATGAAGGACATTCTTCTGCGCGAGGATGAATGGCCAGCGACTGTGGTCCACGTTGGTCCCAATGTTTGGGCATGAAGAGGGATGAGGTCCTGCATTCAGAATTTAGGGAGCTAGGTAGAAAGTTAGTAAGCATGACAGCAAATGTAGTGATCTCCAATTACTCCTAATACCACATACAGGGGAGCACAGAAATTGGAAGGGGCAAATGATTGTTTGGCTGGAAAGATCGTGCCGAAGGAAGGGCTTTATACTCCTGGGGCACTGGGACTGGCTCTGGGGAAGGTGGGTTGCACCTGAACGAAGCTGGGACCGAGTTCCTTATGAGGTATTTTGTTAGTGTTGTTGTGGGGGGGCCTTTAAATTAACTTGGCAGGGGCATGGTAACCAAGGGAAAATAGTAGAGGAGAATATCAGGGTTCACAAAATACTTGTGTGTACGGCTGGCACTAGTGTAGAAAATAACAAGTTAATAGTGAAGCTGGCGTAAAGGAGAAAGAAAAGAAGTCCAAAACAATGTTAACTTGCATGCATTTAAATGCATGGAGTGTAGTGAATAGGTTGGGGAGCGTCAAAAACATTTCCACGTGGACATTTGACATTGTGGTGATGATATAGAACTGGAAAGGCAAGATTATGTTAATTATTCCCGAGTATAAATTATACAGGAAAGTCAGAAAAGGAAAGGAAAGGAAAGGAGGTGGGGTAGCAGTATTGGTTAATGAGTACTTTGCAGTGGAGAAAGACAATGTCTTCAAGGGGTTGAAGGATGAAACAATTTAATGAGAGCTAGGGAATAAAAAGGGCACAATTAAATTGATCTGTATAGTCTATAGATAGTCAACAAGTGGAAAGGATGTAAAGGAACAAACCTTCAGAGAAATTATAGAGAAAGCCAACACTAAACAGTAGTTACAATGAGGAAGTTCATTTACCAAAATTGAGACTTGGATACTGGTAGTGTAAGGGGAAGCAAGGGGCATCTGTTCCTGGACTATGTTCAGGAGCTTTTCCTACAGCATTAGGTGTCAAGGCCAACAAGAATGCATTGTTGGAGCTGGTTCTTGGAAATAAGATGGGCCAATTTGATTAAGTGCCAGTGGGGGAGCATTTAGGAGACAGTGATCATTATATCGTGAGGATCAGGATAGTGGCGCAGAATGTAATGGAACAGTCCAGTGTACAAAAAAAAGTCAATTGGCAGAAAGCTGACTTCAAATGGTGCAAGAACAGAACTGGACAGGGTTGACTGGAACATGAGGCTGGCAGGGTTGACAAGACCACGTTATGCTATTTTCTATATTTTCTTGAACATTAGAAACTAGCAACTCATTGATAGACTAGTTTGAATAGAAAAGACATGTAAAGGGACTACAGACCTGACAATAACATCCTTCAGCTCACAGGGCAGTCAAGTTGTTGCAGTTGTGAAGGACGTAAGAAATAAACAAAATTTGGGCATTATCCTATACTCCTAACATCATTTCACTGAGCCTAGGATTCTTAGTAAAAAAAAAACTAAAACATGGACGTTTGAAACTACATTTTTTTAAATCTAGAATTTAATATAATTGGAGGCTCTTCAGTCCAATCTGTTTTTGGAGAAGGAAGAAATATTAACTGAAATGAATCCAGTCTTTGCCGATGGAAGCACTTAAAAACAATTATGCAAACCTTCCAATATAGTAATGGTACCTACAAGTACTGAGACAACATTATTTAGTTGGACAACAAGGAAAAGCTGTCCACAGTTGGAAAAATCTAAAGACACCTATAAATTATTTCCCTCTGTGCCCAGTGTTTTCTTGGATAAACTCTCAACATAGCAAATCAAGGTTTGATTGTAATACTTTCAGTAGGCACGTTCCACCATCTTGAGTCAGAGTTTGTGGATGTTTCTAAGAAGCTTTACCTGAACACTTGAGAGAATTGGCCAGCTCGGTTGCCATGACCTGAATAATTAATCCAATACGCAGTCGGAACATTTCGGTAAACAGACTGGGTTCTGTCTTTATGTACATTGCAAGGTAAACCACGATTTCCTATCAAAACAAAGATTTATAAATATATAGCAGCTAATTTACTGTACGAATAAAGTTTGAACAGAATTTTACTGCATTGAAATACGTACTATATTCAGCCCTCTTCTGTCTGTGCTATGTGAAAGAACTACCCATTCAGTCCCACTCCCCTGCTCTTTCCCTAGACACCTATAATTTTCTTTAAACCTTTCAAGTATTTACCAATCCCCTTTTGAAAAGTTCATATTGAAGATCTAGTTCCTTCCTACTTTTGGACAGTACCTTCTTGATCAACGTAACTCAATGCATATTTTTTCAATTCTCATCTCGCCCCTGGATCTATTACTAAACTTAAATGTTACAAATTCTGGTGCCAGTGGAAACAGTTTCTCCTCATTGAGTCAATCAAAATTATTCATGATTTGAATGCTTCAAGTAAATCTCCCTAACACTTTGTCTGAAAGATAGCAATCCTAGATTCTCTAAAACTTGCTGTACGAATATATCGTACCGTGGGTCCAGTCCAAAGCAACAACGTTGCTTTGTGCTATGGAGTAGCTATATATATGGTTATAAAAACTTGAGATAACAATCACACAAGTGGACCAAAAAAATAAGGAAAGACCGACCACTGGGCATAAGAAAAATGGATTATCCTCTTCAGCCATTCTGCTAGGCATTTCTGATGGTCCATGACAACATTAAAAATTGCATGGCACCAGTAATTGCTATACATAGTACACCCCAGCAACACCACAATGCATACGAGGAAACTTAAAAAAAAAAGTTGTTAACACCATCACCCTGCTTCAAAATTTCTGTTTCAGCATCCATTCAATTCTGATTTGTTTCCATCTTCAGGCAACTCATCTTATTTGAAATCAGACTTGAAATGTCAATGTTAGCCTGGGAATCAATTCAGTAATATATCATGGATTACACACATCAATATTCACAATGAGATATCTTTAGCAGTAGATTAACAAGTAACATCAAGTATCAGAACAATCCTGGTATTTTGAGATAAAGGTGTAGAGCTGGATGAACACAGCAGGCCAAGCAGCATCAGAGGAGCAGGAAAGCTGACATTTCGGTTCTGGACCTTTCTTCATAAATAGGGGAGGGGAAGGGGATTCTCAAATAAATAGAGAGACAGGGGGAGGTGGATGGAAGATGGATAAAGGAGCAGATTGGTGGAGAGGAGACAGACAGGTCAAAGAGGTGGGGATGGAGCTAGTAAAGGTGAGTGTAGGTGGGGAGGTAGGGTGGGGATAGGTCAGTCCAGGGAGGGCGGACAGGTCAAGGAGGCGGGATGAGGCTGGTAGGTAGGGGGGGGGGGTGGGGTTGGGGTTTGAGTTGGAAGGAGCGGATGAGCTGGGCTGGTTTTGGGATGTGGTCGGGGGAGGGGAGATTTTGAAGCTTGTGAAGTCCACATTGATACTATTGGGCTGCAGGGTTCCCAAGCGAAATATGAGGTGCTGATCCTGCAACCTTCGGGTGGCATTGTTGTGGCACTGGAGGAGGCCCAGGATGGACATGTTG